CCAACATACAATTTTACACACAAAACAATGTTTCTCACTCTCCCTTACCTCTATGAACAAGGTGTAGATCTTTGAGTCATCTTTAGCGATCTCTAGTTCTCCCAGTTCTTCAAAGCACAAAATCAGAAGAGAAAGAAAATGAGAAACATAAAACATAAATTGATGTAATGCGTCTTAACTCCTTAACCCTACCATAAAACAAATAAACCATAGTTACGAATTCCTTTCACCTTAGTTTATTCAATTAAAATCTTTCATCATATAACCTTATTTTATACATATATTTATATCAAGTAATTAAAATAGAATATTAGAAAATCTCCATTAATTATAATAAAATACATTAATTAATATAATATATATATATATATATAATAAATATATTTCTCCCAAAACAAATTATAAATAAAATAAAATATATAAAACATTTTTCAAAATGTATTTCATTACACAAATAATTAAAACATATATTTTCTCCAAGTACTTATTGTAACAAAATGTCATAAAATACATATTTCTCTAATAAATATTATACAAAATAATTTTCACAAATATTTATTATTTAATTAAAAAAATCATAATTATTAAAAACCTCTAAAATATTTTATAAAATCCTTTTAATTAATTAAAAAACTTATAAGAAAATAACCCCAATAAATATAAAAATAAATAATAATTAAATAATTATATTGGTAGAAAATTCAAGGTATTACAATCGGTAACTCACTCTCGCATTCAACTAATTATGTAATCCATTAATCACGACTACTTAAGTCAAAAATACAATTTTACAGATTAATATTATTATATCACAATAGCACTTTTACAAAACTAAGGAGACATTATATACATATATACATGCACTAACAATCACAAACAACAAATGCATAGGTTTAATCCCTCGCACATACAAATAATGGGATTGGAGTCAATTCCACTATCCCACAGGAAACCCATATCCCAGACCAAGGTTTTCACTCCCCTGGTCTTAATTGATGCTAAAGCTTGGGTTTGGATTTTCGAGCTCCTCTCCAACAACTTTTGGCATTCCTTCTTCTTTGGATCATGAGATGCAAGGTTAATAGTGTGTTTGTATATCCATTGGCATACATTGCAAAGCATCGAAACGGAAAAACATGAGTCTTGATGGATTAAAATGAACACATGTTTGCCTACTACAAACAAAAATTGAGACAACCCTATCCTACTGACGAATTAAACTAATATATTAACTTTATCTTTTGTCTAACCCGTCAGTAAAAGTCTAACCCAATTAAAATAATATATTAATCTAATCATTAAGAATATATTATTCCCAATTAATTACTCATAGCTATTTTAAAAGATAAATAACTTAATTATCAAAAATAATTTAGTTAAAAAAACTTTTTATTAACTACTCTCATTTTTCCCCCTTCAAATTATCCCTATTTAATTAATTAAAATATTATAATAATTTATTATGAAAAAATGGAATAAACAAACACATATATACATTATATATTTTTTTCGTAGAATGGTTATTTTTTCAAAGGAAAAAACAGTTTATATTAACATTCATAATATATATATATTACTAAGATTCGGTATGTAATAATTATTAAATAAATTATATAAATTTTAATATATATTTTACTTTACTATCATTAATAGATTTTTTTTATATCATATTAATATAAAATATTTTCATAACAAATATGCATTATTAATTCTTCTCATGTTAAAAAATATTATTTATAATATATCCATATAATAAAAATATATTTTTAATTAATATATGTCATTGATTTAAATAAATAAATTAATATTAGAATTATAAATCAATTCATATATATTAAACACGAATATTTATCTTGCGTCAGAACATTTTTAGAGGCTTTTATTTGACGAGAGGATTTTTGGATATTTCTTTAAGTTATATAATTCTTTTTTATTTATCAAAATTATTTATGAAAATCAATTCCTTTAAAACATGAACTATATGGGGGAAAAAATAGATACTAGAAGGGGGTTAAATAGTGTATATCAAAAAATCGTATGTCTTCAAGTTCTTGAAGTAGTATCTAGAACAAACGAAGGATCAGTAAGAGGAATCAATAAAACAGTATTTTTATGGTGGTTCACCTCAACCACCGAGGTTCTGTTCAGTTCTCAATCTAACTAGATTGAGTTTCACTAACTTTACTAACTTTCAACAAAGTTACAAATATTCTTTTACCAAGTCTTCTAATGCAAACAAGTGTTCTTTAACCGACCTCTTTAAGCCACTATCTAAGTATTTTTTTACAAATAAGTCTCTCTAAGCTCTACCTAATAACAATGATTATGAAGGTATTACAAGATTGTAATTATCATCTCTTTTAGACGTGATCACAACAAATCATTTCAGTACAAAGACCCTTGAAGAAGATTTTCTAAAAGATGAATAAAAAATGGTTTTTCCATATTTACACTTTTGTTCTTTGTATGTGCTTCTCTATCTTCTTTCGAGTTTTAAAGTTTCTTATATAGTAACTTTGAAAGAGATGATCATTTTAGCTTTTTGAGTTTGATTCACAAAACTGCTTTGCCTTACTCCTTCGTCTCATCTTTAGAGAGAAGAGGTATCCGTTGGTGCATTAAATGCTTTGATTAATGTCTTTAACCTAAACAAAATCCTTATCTTTGATAAATAAAGCTACTTATCATAGAAGAGTAGCAAAACGAGAACAACAAGAAGCAAAAAGTTAGCATGCAAGTGAGAATGCAATCCTTTTTTAGCACATTTTCTATGAAATCCAAGACCATTGTCCTTTGTTCTGCTACTCTTCATGCTTTTATATACTTTTAAAAAAATGTGAGTTCTAAGACAACAACTTTCAATCTATTAAGGTATGAAACATTCATTTGAACATTTAAACTCGTCGGTCATAATAAATGATGATTGTTAGAAAAGATTTGTATCCTTTGTCTGATTAGCCTCGTCTTATAGACATTATTTCATTTAACTCAGTATGAAACAATAACTTTTACGGTGCGTTTTCTTATTAAAAATGTAGTGTTTGTTATCATTAAAATTTTATAAAACATAAGGTATTGTCTTTTAACTTAACAAATCATCATTTTGCAGAGAGTATTTTCAAAAACTTTTCTCTGATGAGAGAGATTTTAGAAATTCTTAACTTCGTATCTAACTAGTATTTTAGCATATGCATTGAGCACATTAAATGATTATTATATATACTTTAAATTTATAATAAATTATATATACAAATATATAAATTTCATATTTGAATATATAAATTATATTTAAAATTTGTATAAATAGTTATTTTAAACATATAAGTTATGTTTTAGATTTATGATAAATAATTTATATTGTAGCAACAAATTAATTTCATTTATTGATTATTTATTTAAAAATTATTAAAATTTAATTTATAAATAATTATGATAAAAAAAATTAATTTAGATAAAAAATTAAAAGAATTCCTAAAATCCCTCTCATTCTTAAAAATGTTCTCTGTGATAAAGATGTTAATGTTTAATATATTAGGATTTATTTGGTTATTTTTTTCAAAATTATTTCTTAATTAAATTTTCATACTTTTAAAATAATCAATAAATAAAAATATTCTTGTGCTACAATATAAATTATTTTTATAAATCTAAATATAAATAATATATTTAAAAATATCTATTTATTCAAATTATAAATCAATCCCTATATATTAAACACAAATCTCTATTTTGTGTGTAAGTGTTTTATGGATTTTTTTCATTGAGAGGATTTGTAAAGTTCTTTTTTTTTTTTTAAATTCTTATCTAATTCGGTTTATATTTATCAAAATTATTTATGAATTAAATATTAATTTTAAAATAAATTACTAATATATAAAAATATTTTTTGTTATAATATAAATTATTTATCATAAATCTACAAACACAATATTTTTATACATAATATATTATAAATTTTAATTATATTATATATAATAAACATATATGTGCATTGCACATACTAAAATACTAGTATAATTTATATTTTAAAACATATACAATTCACTTTAAATTTTAGTTATATATCATAAACATTTAATCTATACATTACATAAGTAAAAACTACTAGTTTAAAAATAAAAGTCAACAATGACATGTGACTTATCTTTTAAAAGTAAAATAAAATAAATTACGATTTCAAAATTAATATATTCATATTACATATTTATAATTAGGTTATCCAATTCATATAGCACATAATTTTATAATTAATACAAGTTATTGATATACATAAATTAATTAATATGCTAAATTTACAAATTTAAAAATAAAAGTCAATGATGGCATTTTAGTATTATCATTTTTAACTATTTAATACAATGGTGTAAAAAAAACTATTTAATGCAAAATGTGATTTTATAACTTATATAATAATAATAATAATTAATAGTTATTGTATATCATTAATATAAAATGATATTTTATAATAAATATTTATTATTCATTTATATCTATTATAAAAGAGTATCAAAGTTTGTAATTATTATTTTTTTTTACTTTTTAATGGATCATTATATTCTTCAAATGTGAAGAGAAAAATAATGTTTCAGGTTCTTCCTAAATTATCACACATAATCATCTATTCTATTTTATCTTTAATTTTTTTAAAAAAAAAATAAGAGGCACGAAATGGCTTGATACTAATATATATAAATTAATTAAAATGTTAAACTTACCGGTTTAAAGAAACAAATAAAATAGAGGTCAAAAAAGACATTTTTGACAAAATAACTTTTATTTTAGGGAAAAAAAGAAAGAAATATAATTGTGTATTTGATTTTCCTTTTTTTTTAATTTTAGAAATGGAATGTTTTACATAAAAAAAACTTGCAAATAAATAAAATGAAATCAACATTTTTAAGATAGGATCATTGACTTTGTTTCTAAATTAAATGCATCAAATAAATTCTTTTTGCAGCTTCACTAGTGTGAGAGAATCATTATTTATACAATCACCAATTGGCCTACACTCATAGGCAGTTTCTAAATAACAAACCCTGTAATAATGTCTTGGTTTCTTGTGTTTCTGTTTCTGAGTCTCACACATTGTAGTGTTTCAAAGACTAGCCATCACAAGAACCTTCCTTCTGCTGTTGTGGTTGGCACTGTCTACTGTGACACATGTTTTCAACATGATTTCTCCACAAGAAGCCATTTCATTTCAGGTCTATTTTGCTTCCCTTATTGATGACATGGCTCAGTTTTATTATTTATATCATTTTTCTTCAGGTGCCATTTGAACTTTTTGATATATTTTTTTCTTTCTATTATGTGCAGGTGTCTCAGTAGCTGTAGAATGCACAGTTGGGAATTCAATAGTACCAAGTTTCAAGAAAGAAGTGAAGACAGATGAGCATGGGGAATTCAAAGTGCAACTACCCTTTAGAGTGAGGAAAGATGCAACGAGAATCAAGAGATGTACTTTCAAGTTGATCAGTAGCAGTGATCCTCACTGTGCTGTGGCCTCTGTTGCTACCTCTTCTTCAATGAGTCTCAAGACAACAAAGCAAGGAGAACACATATTCTCAGCCGGCTTGTTCTCATTCAGGCCTATAAAAAAGCCAAACTTTTGTAACAACAAACAAAGTGCTCCAAACACCATTACACAAACTTTAGACGAATCTCAATCTGATAAAAAATCAGCTGAAGATACATTTTTTCCACCAACCCCATTTCTACCATTTCCACCACTCCCACCAATCCCATTTCTACCGCCACTCCCACCACTCCCTCCGATCCCATTTTTACCGCCACTGCCACCAATTCCATTTCTCCCACCACTCTCTCCAAACCCACCTTCAAACCCACCCCTAGCACCAAGTCCACTTCTACCTCCCAACAGTCCTAATCCAAAGCCACCACATTTCCCTAAGCCATTTCATCCTTAAGGCCCACCAAGAACACCCGGTTCTTGCACATCCCTTGCTTCTTCCGAGGACACTTCTCCTTGATTAAATAGAATACTTGCAGGAAAACCGGTGTAAGCCTCTGAATAAAAATACTTGGCAGGAAAAGAAAATAGAAATAATGAGGTAAACTGAAGTTAAAATTCACTTGGGAATGGGAAGTGATGTTATGCAGGAGATCCTTTGAAATTTATTTGAGATATTGAAGTTAATGTCAACTTATCATTGATTTCACCTTATTAATCCATAATTTTCTTTTTATACTAGTGCTTTTTATCCAACCTGGTTTTGTATCTACATACACTCGTACAACTTGTTTACTTTCACCATGAATCGTTGTATACACATATATATGATTATGATATAATAAGTTAAACATGAGGATGGAATATGGATATATACATATATTAGTAATTAGTAATAAGCAAACTATAAAAATTTCTCTGGAGGCATAACTAAGATGCTTCCAAAATTTACATAAACAACAGGCATAGGTTCCTTGGAATTAAGGCATTCAAAGCACTCAGTATCTTCCTTCCAGAGATTGCCAGGTGGTTATGTGGACTTTGATTAAAAAATGAAGGGATAGGACCAATGGGGTAAAGAAAAGGGAACATGGAGGAGAGAGCATTCAATATATCATTCTCAAGTTCATCAAAACTGTTTAAAACAATAGGAGAGGCCCTGTGCAAATTATCTACCACATCATTGAGAAATTCTACCAAAAAGTAATTTGGATCTGTTGTCCTTCTATAGTTAGGCAGGTCCTTCAGTCTAAAATTTTTCATACCTAGAATCCAATCCGCTTTTGTTGAGAATATGCCTAAATATCTTTAAAAGAATTTTTTAATAAAAATATTTTATTTATATTTTAAATATTTAGATTTAATCTGTTTTGATTATTTTAGGATTTGTTTTCTTATTTTAGAATATGATAATATCAATATTTGATTTTGTATAACAAATTTTCTCTATAAATAGAGATTCATGAATAAAATTTGATTATACTCCTCTGATAAAAATAATTCTTATAAAATATCCTCTCAAACAAATATCATAAAATAATTCCATCAACTTTTGTATCCAAATATCCATTTGTCAAATAACTCTCATCTGCATTCATAATTACAAAATTAAGCCAATAGCTCTAAGTTCCATATATCAATGCACATAATCTACAAACTTGCAATTCCTGCGTTAGCATGCATCCATTAGTTTCAACTAGTATAATATTTCAGATAAATTAAAATAACTTTGCAAGGACTTTGTTATGTAAGGGTGCGAATCATTAGAGAGGCCCACTCAATGATAAGTTGGTGGAATATAATTCTGTTGGAAAATGAGAGGATTGAGTAAAGGCCAAAGGTTGAAAATACCAAAATCTAGGTGAAAGGATTTTGTATAAGAAACAGAAGAGTAAATGGAGAGTAGTGTTGAATGTGTGATATGATTATTCCCTCCCTGAATTTCTGTTACTGGATTCCCTTCACCCTCTGTTCTTCTAATTTCTCCTATTCTACGTCACTATTCCTCCTATAAGTTCATACACTACTGGGTGTTGATTATGTTAATAGAAATCCATAATACAGTCTCTTTTACCTTCTCATTATTATTAGTACATATCATTACCTTCTGATAAGAATAAAATAAAATATATGATTGCAACTACCGTATCATGCCATGATTGTAATTTTCATATTTATCTTAGCATGACAACAATGTATATCAATTTGATATCTGTCAGTGCACAAAATTAGGATACCAGCCATATTAGTTGGCGTAATTCTAGCCTAGGATTTCTTGTTGTTTCATGTATATATTAGCATATCGTGATCAATATACACATAGCAGTTTTGAATACATTTTGGCATGGTATCAGAGCCTAACCTAGCTATGATATCCAATAGCCCGAGAACGTAGTTGGACTGCTGAAATGGCAGAGAAAGGAGACCATATATGCTTCCAAAAGCATGAGCTTGGACCAATGGCCAAAGAACAATTAAAAATAATAGTGAGTGTATATATAATAGAAGAGAACACGAACAAAGGGGGACGGAAAAATTTTGAAACAGAGAAGAATCAAGGATAACAAAAATTTCAAATAGAAACAACTCAAGCAGAAGGCAAAAGAAGAGGCCAAAGTAGTGCAGGTATCAATTACCCTCTCCGATTTTTATTTAGTATGATGTTGTTATTATATAGGATGCAAAACAATTTCTGATCAGTAAGACAATTTTATTTTTAGTGAACCTTTTACCATGAAATCGAAACCCTCATTCTCAAACCTCAATAAAGCATTTAACAAGTAAAAAAATCCAGATATAAAAATAGATGAAAATAAAATAAAAAGGGTTGATGAACAGTACCAGAAAAAAGGTGTTTCCAGTGAACACCATTATGCACTGCTACCAGAGGCGATTTCTGGCCACCGCGAATGTCGCCGTGCACCGCCGTG